GATGAGACAGACAGACAGAAAGAAAGAGAAAGAAACAGCTGGAACGGTGCCTCGCAGTCTGGTAGTGGAGGAGAGGTGTTCTGCAATGACCTGGTATTTCAGGCAGAATTTGCAAATGGCCTAAACGGTCGGCAAAATAGTTGGGACAATCCACTTCAACACTCCAATTACATACCCCTCAGTGGGTTCATGAAGGAAATGAAAAGTGTAGCATTCACTTTGCCATAGAGATCCGCTCACTGCTAGTTTGCGATACAAGAAAAGGGAAATACCATAGGCAGACAACATGACTACTCACCTTTTGGTGTACTTGGCCATATCCCAAGGGATATAAACAATAGTATGTTCAGGAGGCAAAAACTGGTTGAGGTAAGTCACAGCCGCCACGAGTTCTTCACTCAGGATTCTCTCATGTTTTCTTCTCTCGCGTTCCTTTGTTCAAAACAAACAAACATGTTGAGTCTTCGGGTCACTTCTGACATGGAGGCCCGGGGGCATCGTGGCCAGGCAAGGCTGGCTGTTTGAAATCACCAGCCGCTCCGGGAACGAAAGCAGGGCTTTCCGTGCCTGAGGAACTAGTCTCGTGAACCCCGCAGGGGCAGTTCCAGCCTGTCCTGGAGGGTCCCTGCGATGAGTTGGAATTGACTTAATGGCAGTGAGGGCTTTTTGTTTTTAATCACTTTTTTTTTTCATATGGAATAGTTTTATTTTTTAAAATCATTTTACTGGGGGCTTGTACCACTCATCACAATCCATACATATACATCCGTTGTGTATGTATATGTATGGATTGTGATGAGTGGTACTTTTGTGCATTTGTTGCCATCATTATTCTCATTTGCTTTCTACTTGAGCCCTTAATATCAGCTCCTCATTTTCCCCCTCCCTCCCCACTCCTCCCTGCCTCATGAACCCTTGATAAGTTATAAATTATTATTATTTTTTCATATCTTACACTGTCTGACGTCAAAAAAACATACTTATAAAGCATGTGCATGTGTGTGCACACACACACATTCCAAGTCTTTAGCATACTGAAATGAAACTGACCTACTAAAAATAATTTAAATACAATATATATGTATATCAAATGGAAGTCAACAACTAATGAAGCTGAAAGACTCAAAAACACCAGGTTTTATTCTGGGGGGAGCATTCGGATGTCCAGCTCACCCACACTAGCCTCCCGCAAGCATCCCACGGGCTACTCAGCCAGCAGAGACCCCTGCAGGGAAGCTCCATTCCCATCAGCTGTAGGCCAGGCAGACACACACTGGGGCTGCACGGAGAACTCCTAAACTGGCACTTCCAGAGGTTTGAAATTCGCGTCTCCCCAAAACCCTGCGGTTGAGAGGCATTTGTGGAGCTAACCCTGGCCTTTGCCTGCTAAACCTCCTTAGACACCATACTGCCGCTCATTCAAGAGGCGCTAGCATCTCAAATCATTGGCTCTGCCCCATGGCCTTGGGCAAGGTTCTTAACTTCCCTATTCTTGGTTGCTGTTAGCCGCCTTTGAGTCAGTCTCCAGTTCCCAGTGATCCCGTGCACAATGGGATCTGGCCGTTGAGATCCCTTAGGCTTTAACTGACTGATATTTTGGAAGTAGATCACCAGGCCTTTCTTCCTAATCTCTCTGCTCCGCTCCAAAGCATAAAAATATGCCAGCAAGCTTCTACTGTCAGGTGGGCGGTGGCTGTGGATGTGACACATTGACCCAGCATTGAACGTGGACCTCTGTCGTGGAAGGTGAGAATTTTACCACTGAACCACCACTGTCTCCTTCACTTCTCTGGTTCACATTTACTCATCTGTAAAATGGGTTAACGATAGTATCTTCCCTAGCGCATCCGTGTGAGGTGTGTATAAGATGAAGCATACAGTGCTCAGTAAAAAGTTCATGGTTTTCATCGTGACGCTGGGTCAGGCATTCACTCGGAACCAAAACTCAGCAATCGTGACCCTGTGGTGCTGGAAGAGCATCGAGGTTGACATCAAAATAAATCTATGCTGTTTTCAAGTATGATGATTACTCCACAGAATTTAATTAGATGACTATTGTAGAAATGTTAAAAGGGCATTTTATAGCTGAGCAAATCAAATGGAGTTAGGCTTGATTCAGAGAAGTGTTCAAACAACTCTGGATAAAAACTGTTTCTAGTTTATTTTTATAGCTGAGAACATGAAATCCTAGCAGCTGAAACTTTTCTTAAAGGCACTTTAAATCAACTAGGGAAATAAAAGCTATTCTAATATAATGTTGTTGGCATTCTTATTTCAGATCTGACATTGTACAGGCTGGAGAGGGACGGCCATTTAATCAAGCTGTGGTCTAGAGAATCGACTTTGTGTATTGTCCACAGTGGGTTAGTGATAGTGGGCTGCGTGGAAGTGAACCTCCCTGAGGTCACAGACGCCTCCAGCAACCAACTGAGAACTTCACATCCACAAGTGATCTGCTTACAGCTTCAAAGGTTGTTCCCTAAAGGCTCCCCTCAAAAGGCTATTCATGGCCCCTGAGTGATAAACCTCTAATCTACAACTTATTCTGGGTCCCTGGGCAACTTCCTGTAGCAGCACTGACGGTACCTGGATTGCTGCAAAACGGCTCCACACTTCTACAATGGGTGGGTTAGGGCTATTCACAGCACAGGGTGAAAGAGAAAAGAAACAGAGAAGCAGTTCACTTTATCGACGTCATGTGGTAAAATAAAGACAAAAAATTGTGTTGTGTTATTCCATACACACGTGCAATCTGTGACTCTGTAATCACAGCTCCTTCCAGGTGAACTGAAATCAAAAAGCCTCCCTACAAATGCAGGAGTACGGTGAGGCTACCTGCTCTCGTAAAGACTTCCAGGCTTGGAAACCCTCTACAGACAGGGTCACTGTGAGATGGCATCAGGACGCTGGCACTGAGTTTGGTTTGGGTTTATCTTATGAGCAAACAGCCAATGTCAAAAATGACAATTCCCCCTAACCCTAAACAGCACCTAATTCCCATGTCCTGCTCTAGCTACTCTTTAGCTATTGCCATGTTTGGTTGCCTTTTATTGTCACGGAACCATGCGCAAGGGCAGTTTTAGATCCACTGAACTTGACATTTTCAGAAACAAAGATAAACATGAGAAATCAGGGAGGGGCACTTTACAGTCACATGTATCAGATAGTATTAGGTCAGGTGCACCTTACTTCTCAAAGTGACCTCTTGGCTCTTTAGCCCTTTAAAGAGGTCTTGTGCGTCCCATTCGCCCAGTGCAACACGTCGTGTGATTTCTTGACTACTGCTTCCATGGCTGTTGACTAGTGATGAGGAAAAGGTTGCCCAGACTACACTCACAATATAAAAAATCAAACGTTAAAAACAAAAGACCAGGAAACAGATTTCACACTGAGTTTGAATTTCACATCAAAAGTATACCATACCTTCACCAAATTCAAGATGATGAGGGGAGAGCCAAACCTCTGAAGCATCTGGTCAAAGTGAAGGGCAGCCACGCGCGCAAACGGATCTGCCTGGTCCACTGAGGAGGGAGAGAGGATGAATGACTAGCAGGATGGAAATCGGCAAGCAGGAACAAAAGTAGTGCTGGCTTTTTTGTCTGTTTGTTTGTTTGTTTGTTTTGTTTTATGTCTTTAGACACAATACAATTCAACTGATCTTCAGTGACTCTTATTTATCATCTATTATGGAAGCCGAGGGACTCTTAACCATTCTGGCGTGAAATACAAACCACTTAAGAACAGCCAAAATTAAAGAAACCATTTAACATTATTGCATAAAAATTAAACGTTTTCTGAAATGACCTATCATAGCAGTGAAAGCTAAATCATTGATGTGATTTGACAATAGTTCATTCTCTCTAAATGTGGGGAAAGAAGAGCTGTGGTTACAAAGACTGTGCCACATACAAGTGATGGGGGGCTTGGGCATCATGGTTGAAATGTCCTGAGACCAGGATAAGGGAACTGATCCTCTAACTTGCACGTAGGAAGAGTAACTTCCTGCAGTGAAAGACATCACAGACGCGTCACAGAGTATCTGCTCTGTCTCCACTTCATTGGCAACATCACCCTGAAAACAAGCACACATTTAAAGTTATTATTTCGTCTCTCTAAAAATGCTTAGTGGAAAAAATCAAGTAGACAATGAAACTACGATTCCCACCCTTAGACATTTTTTTTTAAGGTGAATGTTAATCAACATTCAGTGTGCACATAAGTCAAACCATGAAAATGTAATAAGGAAGGTAGTTAAGAATAGCAGATCATTCGACAATATCCAACATCCATTTTTTTTATAAAAACACTCAACAAAATAGGAATAGAAGGGAAATTCCTCAACATCATAAAAGCCAGATACAAAAAACCAACAGCCAACATCACGATGCTCCATGGGGAAAAACGAGAAGCATTTGCATTGAAAATGGACCAGACAAGCATGTCCCTATCAACAGTTACTCCACATTGTACTGGAAGGCTCAGCTAGAGCCATCAAACGACAAAAAGAAAGCAGGGAAATGCAAATAGGCAGAGAAGAAGTAAAACTCTGGCTATTTGCAGACGATATATATGATCCCATATATAGAAAACCCAAAGGTCTCCCCAAAAAGCCTGCTGGAAAGAATCAAGGGATTTGGCAAGGTAGCAGTGTCAAAAGTAACAACCAGAAATCGATCGGCTTCCCACATGTGAGCAAAGAGAGCTACAGAAAAGACATTAAGAAAACAATACCATTTACAATAACCACACAAAAGATGAATATTAGGAATAAATCTAAAGAAACAAAAGAGCTCTACAGAGAAAACTACAGAACTTCAAGAAACCAAAAAACACCTACATAAATGGAAGACTATCCCATGGTCATGAACAGGCAGACAATATTTTGAAAATGTAATTATTATCTAAAACAATCTACAGATAAAATGCAATCCAAGTCCCAAATACATTCTTTAAGGAAATAGAAGAACCAATTTCATATGGGCAGGCAAAAAACCTAGGATAAGCAAAGAACTTACAAAGAAGAACCAAGTCGGAGGCTTGGCACTGCCTGCCCAACAAACCTCTGTATAGTCACAGTGGTCAAGCAGCCTGCGACTGCGACAATGAGATGTATAGAGACCGATGGATCTGAACAGGAAATCCAGACAAAAATGCATTAGCCTGCAGGGAACTAATCTTCAACAAAAGATGAAGAATTATCCAAGGGGACAAAGACAGCTCTCTTCAACAAACGGTGTTGGACACACTGGATTTCCATATGCAGAAGAATGCAACAAGACCCTTATCTCTCCCCATGCACAAAAATGAACTCAAGTTGGATTCAGGATCATCAATGCGAAAATGGAAACAAACTTAAGGCAAAATAGGTGACTGGGACATGTTGAAAATACATCATTTATGCACATCAAGAGAGTAAAATGAAAGCTCACAGGTTGGGAAAAAATTTTCACCAAGACACATCGGACAAGGGTCTAATTACCAAAATTTACAGAACTCTACAACAGTTCAATAAGAAAATAGCAAACAACCTAATTAAGTGGGCAAAAGGCATGAACAGATAGTTTACCAAAAATGAATGAAACACGTGAAAAAATGCTGACGATCACTAACCATCCAGGAGATGCTAATTAAAACCACAGTGAGGTGCCACCTCACACCCACAATGCTAGCCCAATTCAAAAAACAGAAAACAACAAATGCTAATCAGGTTGTAAAGACTAGAACTCATATACACTCTCAGTGGACTTGTAAATACATACAATCACTATGAAAATGATATGGCAATACTTAAAGCAACTGAGAATTGAAATCCCATACCATCCAGCAATATAACTATTAGCCATATACCATAAAGAAATGAGACAAAACATGAGTGGATCTATGCTCCCCCCATGTTTACAGCAGCTCCCGGGAAACTGCAAGTTGCCCAAATGCCCAACTGTGGAAGAATTGATAGAGAAACTAGGGTTCATACACACAATGGAATACTCTGCATCCCTAAAAAACAGTGATGAGACACCACGTGACGTGGAAGGACCTGGAAGCCATGATGCTGAGTGAAGTTAGTCAATCACAAAAGAGCAAATATTGTATGTGTATGAGTCCACCACTCTAAGGAGAAACACCAGTTCCACAAGTTTTAGAGGCCGCTTCCCAAACAAAGGGGTAGAAAGTCTACCTAGCAGACATGAACCATACATCACCCCCTTACATGCACTTCGTAAGAACCACCTAGAAAGAAGAAACCTCACATCATCTGGGGTCCCTCCCTCAGGAAGGGGGTGGGGGGGGAGAAGACCATCCACTTGGAGCCATAAAATACTGAGACAAGGCTGTGACAACTCCACAGACCTCCGCAGGAATGAGGGGAGACCCCTACAGGAAAACAAACTAAAACCAGTGGGGGGAGCGCCCACGTGTCAGAGGAGGCACGATACTTCTGTTGGTGGATATGGTGGGTAAATGAAAAGGAGCAACCTCACATCTGGAAGGGATACCAGACAATAATTGTAGGGAACCAAAGAGGAGAATAAACCTGGTTTTCTGTTCCTGGGTCGACACTTTGAATAAGTTTCTACCCAACTCTTGATGAACCACACCATGGACTAAGCACTTTGATGACCTTAGATGCTGGCCTTACAGGGAACATGGCATCCCCCAAGGGCCACACCAGAAGGATGCAATATGGAAGCCTGACTGAACAAACTGGGCCCTACCTCAAAACTACCTGTAACCCTTGGACTTAGGAGTGAAATTTCCTGATGGGACAGAAAGCAAAAGATAGACACCCCAAGACTGGTGAAATGAACCACCATATATGCATTTTACATTAATATGCACCTTACATTAATATGACAGGTATTGATCTGATAGACAAGGATCTGCTCCTGTAAGGAACGTTACAGAACATTTTCCCCTACCACCCACCCCCATGCTCCATGTAAACAGAGCTCCATCATTCAAGAGTTCAATCTGTACAAAGCAACAACTCGTGGATCGTAAAATTCCTCTTCTCAACAGTCTCTTAAATTCTATGCCATTGGATAAATTACTGATGTTATCAATGCAATAGCCTTATACCCCAAGGGGATGATTGACAATGTTTTTCTTTTTTTTTGTTTGGAGGGGGTTTGTTTATTTGTTTGGGGCTTTTTTGTTGCTGTTTTGGTCATAAAATGATAATATAATGGCTAAAATTAACCAGAGTTATCCATAACCCCTGGACATGCAGATGGAGTCTGGACTTCCATTTAATTTTAGCCCCAATCCAAGAACAGAGCTCTTATGACATGGCCCTGCTCGATGTTAACCTTCATGAAGAGATCACTGAAGATGAAGGTGCTAAAGTGTGGTGAAGAAAGGAGATGGTGCCCAGCTATCTACTGGAATAGCATCTGGGGTCTTAAAGGCTTGCTCTGAAACAAACAGCTATCGAAGTGAGGTGTCAACGAAGTCCACATGGAAGAACCACACCAGCCTATGTGATCCAAAGATAATAACGAAATCCAAATATGATGAAGGGAAAAGTATCAGAGCTTAAATTGTGAACACTCAATTTGTAGAATCCTATGGAGGGCAGTGGGAACCCAAGATCCATTTGTAGAGCAGATTAAGCCTCTGGCAGATCCCCTCTGGCCACAGGTGAGGGACTTGAACAGCTTTGCTATCAGACAAAGATTATTGTAAACTTGATTATGGTAGATGGAACTATGGTATAATATGATACTTAGTCAGTTGGCCTCCCTCTTGACCCAACCTGAATTTGCTCTAGGCTCTCCTGAATAGCAGAGAATAGCTTGTTCCATACAGAAATTTCTTCTCTGGCTTTTTATATTATTGCTGGTAGTGTTTTCTTGCTTACTCTTTATTTTTAATCTTTAGATTTATTTTTAATTGTTTATGTTAGGTTTCCTAGTTTATGAAGCACAGGAGTGGATGTATAGAGACCATAACAGATGAAAGGTTTATCAGGACGGAAATGGGTGGGTGGGAGGAAAATTGGGAAACAGATAATGAATGTGGGAGGGAGAGGGAGCACTAGAACTAATTATGATGATGTATATACAACTCTTTTTAAAAACAACTTAACTCCGGAAGTGTATGATGTGTGAATTTTATATCAATAAAACTATTTTTTAAAAGAATAGGATATCATAGTTGAGGGATGTGAATATCCTTGTTATCAGAAAGAGAGCATTGCAAAGTCGATTATAACAGAGGTCTTTGGTTAAAATGTAATATTTTATCATTTGATCTCTTTTGATTCATTTAAAACTGTTTCAGTTTTTAAAATGAAAGAAAGAAAAAGAAGGGGAAACACACAGGAATCGAGGCTCTGGTGAATCCCCACTGACCATGGGCCAAGGATGTGAACAGCCTTTCTATCAGGCACAGTGCAATGGAAAATGGATTGTTGCAGATGCAGTTAGATTAATCTTTAGCACTCTGTCATTTGCTCTCCCTCATGATGCATATTTAAATGATCTAGTTTTTAATGTTTTCTAATATTTCTATTGCTCTAGTTTTTCATTTTTTCTGCTTTCTTTTCAATTAAGGTTTTTTATCGTTTGACTTTGTTATTGTTAGTTTTTTGTTTGCTTTTTAAGTTTTTTCTGTATATGAAATCCAGGGTAGGTAAATCCATGAAGGCAGTAACTGGACCCCTGATTCTTTGGGGATATGGCAAGGGAGATTAGGGGAAATGGGAAGCTAATAACAGTGGGTAAAAGAAAGAAGAAAATGTCCTAAAACTGTGGTGATGATTATACAACTTCTCTTGAAGTGACCGGACTACTGAATTGTATGATATGTGAATCATAAGCCACTACAATTGCTGGAGGAAGGAGGGGAAGAATAGCAGAGAATGAACTAGCTAATAATACACGTGGTACAAGTGATACAAGAGAACTGGTTGAGTGGTATAAGTGGTGGAATGGTGGTAGTGAAGTGCCATCAATCAGTTCAGAATTGGGGATCCCATGTACAAAATGAGGAGGAGGAAGAGAAAACAGATACAAATATATGAAATTAGATAGCAGGCTAGAAAGGCCAGCAGAATATCAAAATTTAATTCTGAAAAGCAAGGGGAAAGAACCACCACAAAAAATGAGTCAAAGGCTAGTGGGCACGGAAAATTAAGAGAAAGGGAGGATGGGGTGTTGGAAATAGCTTTACCTATAAAAGTACATAAGGATATGAGAGAGAATCATTCAGAATGATTAGCAACATTTCTGTTGGTTATCCTCAAGATACTAAAAAATAATATAGCCGCAAAGTTCAAATACTCTTCTGAAAGTATCAGTTATAAACGTTCTCAAATTTCAAGGAAAATTTTACTATTTTTATGCAGGATCACAACCCAATGCCTGACTCGACCTGTCAACTCAATCATACATTTGCTTAAGGCTCAAGCTGTTTCTCACAATGACAGCCAGCCAATCAGAGAGATGATGGGCTGACAGCAGGGCACATGGGTTTGTGTTGTCATTTCTAAGTACGGAGCAGAAGTCGTGTGTCCTGAGAGAAGCTGGAGAAGGGCGAGGAGCCCAAGGGTCTGCAGTGCTTTGCTCTTCCTCGTCTTCTGATCAAGGGCTTACTTCCAATGAGGGCTGCCCCCCACTTACTCCTCGGTGGAGGGGGTTTGCAAATTTCATCTCGACATTAAGTAGGTACGATACCTTCAGGTATATTACAGAAACAGCTCATCCTCCCAAACCTTAGACATTTTCATAACTCCCTACAGCATTACGTAACTTTCTCAGATAACTGACTTCTCAAAACATCTGTATATTAGTCATAGTTCTCACAAGTTTCAGATGCCCTGGGAAATTCATTATTCTCTTGATAATATCCAAAATTCAGAAATTTCACTTTGCTTCATGTATGTCAAGAAAGCTAAATATACCTATATAGCTTTGCATTTATTTAGCATATATATCTATATATAGCCATATAGATGCTGGTGTTCAAGAATAAGATGCCAGACTTGCTGCTTTTTTTCATTCTTAAAACTTTCTATTCTAAATCTAAGCACATAGAGTCTTAATTGGTTTTACTTCTGAATAATTAGCATACAGCTTCTTAATATGTTTTTGTAATTTTTACGTTTTAGACCTTGAATATGTCTTGTTGCTTTTCATCTTACCTCACAGTTGGCGCCTCTCTTTAGAAAACGGGTCCCAGCAAACTTGCTGGATCTTCGTGCTATGAGGCTGACATACACTGGCCGTCCATAGATCAACAGCTCTGAAGAAGCAAGTTAAAGCCCTTGAGCACTTGTGGCTGCTGCGTACATATTTACATACATCATGTCTCACAGGTGAAAGTCAAAATTGAAACACACTGCCATCAAGTCAATTACAAATATAGTGATCCTACCCAGGGCTTGGGGACTATAAAGTTTTATAGGAACAGACAGACTCATCTTTCTCCAGGGGAGCAGCTGGTGGGTTTGAACAGCTGGCCTTGGGGCTAGCAGCCCTACGATGACCCAACAGTGTCCACAGGTTAAAGAGCAACTAAAAGCTCCACCCACGAATGGAACAGAAATGGAACTGGCTGCTCTTCAGAATCACACAGGTATGAGGACAACAACTGGCCCTGCCTAAGGGATGGATTGTTCCTATGAGTGTGGCGGGAAATAGAAAACAGGTGCAGGGTAACCAGCCTGGGGGGGGGGGGGGGGGGGGGGGAAGCTGGTACTTCCTTAGAGCCAAGTAAAGGATGTGAATACTTCAGAAAGGTCTTTTGCAGATTCACCCAGAGCAGTACATGGTTTGATTCATTGGCTGCTGCTTCCCTGCACAACAGTCGTCGATTAAGTAAAGTGAAGCCCTGAGCCACTTCAGTGTTCTTCTCTGTTAATCTCTGTTGTCTATGGTCCGGTGGCAACGATCCCTGTTTTCGTTACCCTGCCATGTAATCCAGACTGAAGGCTGTCGTCTTCGATCTTCATCAGTGTTTCTAGTCCTCGTCGTTTTGAGGGGCAAAGAAAGCAGTGCAAACAGAAACAACCGAAAACCGAGTGAATTGTTGTGAATTGCCTGATAAATACAGCTTCCTCGTTAGGTGACCATATTTAACTTTCCCGGCCTCAGTTGCAGCTTGTAGAAAATGGAGGAAGCGCTTTCTTAGGGGGAGGAGAACTAAATGAAATAGCCTATGTAGAGCTCAGCTGTGGTATATGTTCACAAAACAGCAATTAATCATATCACCACAGACTTCTGGAATTTGTTAGGTGCTTGGTAAGGTGAAGAGTAGACTCATTGCTTAACTAATGATCTATACAATCACAATATGTGCTGCTGATTACTATTAAAAAATTAGGAAAGACATTCTGAGGAGCCCAGGTGGCGTAGTGGTACACATTGAGCTGCAAAGAGTAAGATTAACCGTTTGAAACCACCAGCCTCTCTGGGGGAGAAAGACAGGGCTTTCTACTCCCGTGAAGAGGAACAGTCCCTGAAACTCACAGGGGCTGCTCTGCCCTGTCCTATAGGGTCACTATGATTCGGCATCGACTCAATGGCAATGACTTTGGTTTGGAGTTTGGAGCCAGCTCTAGACTACAAAACGGTGGAGAGCTACCTTTTAGGAACGGTCGCACTTGATTTTTTGGTCCTTGGTGGTAAAAACCAGTCAGACAAAAGCAACTTAAGGCCAAAGCTCATTTTCATTTAGTGACTGATTAAGTGGATGATCCCACTCACTGGGTGGAAATGATTATGAGGTAATGAGCCTGATTTTCAAGTGCAGCCCTTAATCTCACTCGTCATCTGTCCAGAACATCTGTTTGCATCTAGCCGCTCCTCGCCTGCACTTGCCACGAAGAAGGCTCGCCTCTCCAGCTGCCGATTGCCTTGCAAATGCTCTGGGCCAAGAGTTCATGACCACCGTCCATTCACCTCCTAGAGGGTCGCAAGACAACCCTTCCTTTAAAGCTTGCACCACATGTACTTCTGTCAACCAGGAAACACACTGGTGCCCAAACACCGGGCAAGATCTCCAGCCGTGAGATGAGAACGCTCGTGACTGCCTCCAGAAGGCATGCGCTGCCCCCTGGACCTCATGACAGAGGAGCGCTTTCGTGGGAGGTTTTCCACAGAGCCAGGGATTAAATGGAAGAGGAGGCTATGAAAGAAAGATGATAAAATTGAGCTCAGCACCTCCCCCAGTGCATAACGCTGTTGTTGTGCGCCAGTGGGCCCATTCTGACTCACAGCGAACCCCATGGGGCACAGTCAACCCAACCCACAGGCTTCCTGGGTGGCAAGTTTTACGGGAAAGGAGTCACTAGGTAGAGGGGAACCGCCAATCTTTCTATTAGCAACTGAGCACGTAACGACTTGCAGTGCCAGGGCTCTTTAACACTACCACTCCGTGATTTCTCGTGCCCACCTTATACCCAAACCTTCTAGTATCATTTAACTTAACCCAGTTTAGAAACAGTGGTCGACTCAGCCTCCGAAATTCTCTTTTGCATATGTCAGTCTCCTGAAGGAGCCCAGGGGCTGTAGCGGTTTCCCATTGGGCTGCTAACCACAAGATCCGTAGTTGGAAACCACCAGCCGCACCGATGGAGAAAGACGAGGCTTTCTCTTCCTGTCAAGAGTGACAGTCTGAGAAACCCACAGGGGCAGTTCTACGCTGTCCTATAGGGTTGCTATGCGTCAGAATCAACTCAATTGCAGTGAGTTTGGTGGGGTGGGGTGTGGGGGGTGTTGGTTAATTGGTTGATTCAGCCCAAAAGTACCACCATACCTCCTAGTAGTTTTCCATGCAAACCACGGCAACACTCCCATATACATCCACTTCTTTATGTACACGCATGCATGGTAAAGAGTCCTGACAGTGCTGTGGGCTGGTGAGTGGGCTGCTAACCGCACAGTCGGTGTTTAAACCCAACCCACTAGCCACTCCAAGGGAGAAAGATGAGGCTGTCTGCCCCATTTGGATTGACAGCTTTGGAAACCCTGTTTAGTCAGAGGAGACTCCACGGCAGTAGGTTTGGTGTTTGGGGTGTACAGTTTACTTATGATGCTTCCCCACTCCTAACTTTCCCTGGCCTTTCTGTACTGCCCGACTTCTGCTTTTCTCTCCGGAGCCCGCCCCATCCTCCTGACTTGTCAGTGGTCTCCCCCCTTCACTCAGTCTTACTGCCGAAGACTCCATCCACTGTATACACAGAGCACTTTCTCCTGGCTCTCGATGGACCTTTCTGACCAGGTAGTCCACATTCCTCTTTATATTTCCACTAAATGGGTCTAGGAGCCCTGGTGGCTTAGTGGTTACACATTGGCTGCTAGCCGCAAGGTCAGCAGTTTGAAACCACCAGCCACTTCATGGGAGAAAGATGAAGCTTTCTACTCCCACTAAGACTTATAGTGGTGGAAGCCCACATGGGGCAGCTCTATCCTGTCCGATAGGGTCGCTATGAGTCAGAATCGACTCTATGACAGTGAGAGTTAATAGACATCATAACTGTTCTTTAAAAAAGGATACTTGACTGTCCACAGAATCCGTGAATAATATATAGCAGCCAGTCACGGTGGACAGTGTTTTTAATTACTTCCAGAAGCTCGCCATTCCACACATACTTCATGTATGGTTCACTGCAGATCCCAAACACACCTGAGAAAGAAGAGTCAGCATCAGAAATATCCAGACCACTGGTTGAAAATCAAGCTATTTTTTAAGTTCCTAAACTTTGCTTTTAACTTCAACGTACGAGGCCTGATTGAGAACACCGCTATGTTTTGGTAGCTCCCAAGGACCTCCTCCCCCAGAACACAGCAGGGACTCCGCACAAAGGCAGAGCATACTCACAAGTTGTGATTTGTGAGAGCATTTAATGTGAGAGAGAATGCTGGAGACATTAAGAACATGCGAGCAAATGCAGTAGAAAGCTGAGAGGCAACATAGAGTTGGGGAGGGGAACAGAGCTCGAGGGTTGAGTGCCTAAGTCAAACCGGAATATCCAACTGGTCCATTCCGTTTCAACCCCCAGCTGAGAATCTACCTTCCCATCCCACGTACACTGAATCAGAATCCACATTTTAACCAGCACTCCAGGTAATTCTGAAGTTAAATTGCTTGTTAAATTTCATCAAGCATGAATCAGCACATGCAGATGAATTAAATAACCAACGAGTTTGACTGAACTTGTATGAAGCCTAAAAGAAGCAATAAGGAGATTGATGAAGCAATAGCTTAAAAAATTGTGACAGTTCTGGAGAGCAGGCAATCAAAACCATTCTGCTTCCACAACGGTCCTTTTGGAACTGGTCTCTACGGCGGAAAAAGGGTGGCATGTATTCTCTAATACTCAAAACAAAAACAATTCTCCATTTAAATATCTCCAAAAGTCTAGAACTGAATGCATTCCCTAAATATTTTTTAATGACATGAATGATTACTAGGAAATATCAGCATACAAATGAAATTACATGGTGATCAAGATTTCTATAAAAACAAACAGGTCAAGTTCATGTAGTAGAACTACCCTAAGTCAAGACGAAGAGCAGAGAGAGAGGGAGAAATGTAAGTCTACTTAATAAGAGGCCATTTCGTGGATGTTGCATTAACAGGCTTGGATAAACTAACAATAACCTACCGCTTCCACCCTGTGTAACCAATCCTTCATCTTCAAAGATATCAAAGCTCTCTTGGCGAGCCTGGGTCGTTTCTGACTTCAGCATCTCCAGGGGCATCCGCAAGACAGTGAGATTATATTGAAGAGAGTGGGACAAATCATAGCTGTAACTGAGAGCAGAATTGAAATTTACTAAGAACTATAAAAGCACAGCAGTGTCCATGGTCTTGGCTCCCTGTGGAAGTAAAATGTGTGAACTGACGGGCTAGCACCTGTTCCTTTACTTGGAAGTGGTGCTGTTCATATAAGCACTTAAAACAAAGCAAAGCATGAGCATAATTGGACACAGAAGAGACCCAGGGTATGACGTAAGCAGGTGTGCCACTAGAAAGATAGTTATAGGTTTGTACGAAGTGCATTGCCTGCTTTGTGCTGAAATTAATTTAAGCTCATGGCCAAGAACCAAGGAACCCGGCTGGCATATGTATCTGAAAGGAAGCTCTGTAGGCACTATAACCTCCCCTGCAAGAATGTATAGCTCCCTTCGCTAAGTCACCCAGGAACAAAAACAATTCTATTCATTATTAATTATATTGGGCTTTGTGATACAACAGACATAAGCAAATGACACATGTCATTTCACAGGAACGTGTCGTAAGAAAGGAACAGCCACAATAATCTCTCAGCAAAAAAGAGAGAGAGAAAAAAGAATTTTATATTTTTAAGCCAAAAGAAAACCCTTTATGATTCTTATTTTGCATAACCACTACCTTTTGAAATACAGTTCTCATATATTATTGGCATAGAATTTCAGAACGTAACTAGCATTCTTTAGACATATATGCAAATTTGTTTTGAAAGTATTGGGGGCATAATTTTAAAGATGAATGTTAACAATTCTGCCTGGACTCACATACATTATTTTAATGATTAGTTCCTTCCTTAATTGATTCTGATCATCTGATTGAAACTGACTTTTTGTTTCCTCTGTGGAATCAATCTGACCACATTTGCTTGATCCATCTACTCACTCTAATCTCACAGGTTGAAAAGTGGTATTAAGAAGTTGGTTTTTCTATCACAATGATCTCCATATAGCCCCCTCCCAGAGGGAAGACAACAGAAAAGTGGGTGAAGGGAGATATCGGTCAGTGTAAGACATGAAAAAAAAGTATAAATGATCAAGGGTTCATGAGGGAGGGATGGGGGGGGAGGGAGGGAAAAAATGAGGAGCTAATACCAAGGGGTCAAGTAGAAGGAAAATGTTTTGAGAATGATGATGGTAACAAATGTACAAATCTGCTTGACATAATAGATGGATGTATGGATTGTGATAAGAGCTGTAAATGCCCCCAATGAAATGATTTTTTTAAAAGAGCAGGAAAAGTTGGTTTTTAACAATCTAGCTAAAACAAATAGTTTTCCAGCAAAGTCTTAAGAATGCAGTCATCTTTTAAAAAGGCTATCTAAGAGACGCAGAGAGGAACCTACATCTTTTTCCTTCAGGAGCAGCCCTATCCGGGCCTGGTGCGGGGCTCAGAAGAAGCTGAGAATGGGCAGCGGGGACTGCTCAGATGGTGCGGCCGAGAGCAGCAGACACGCAAGCAGTGCTGGGAACAGACAGTGCGCCTGAGGACGCAAACGCAGATGGCAGAGGCCAAAAACAGAAAAATAATTCACTTTCCCTAGTTTTCCATCACTCCGTTCTACTTAATAACCTTGATGTCATAGGTAAGGAAAGAGTTAACTCTATCAATAATTAACTCGTAGTAACCTATAGGACAGTTTGCTAAGCCGTAACCGCGGCAGGAAGCAGACGGCCTCCTCTTTCTCCGGAGGGGTGGCTGGTGGTTTCCAGCTGCTGACCTTGAGGACAGCGGCCCAGGCAATGGCTCACAACACCCCAGGGGCAGGCGTCACAGTGGGCTTGATGGCAGGGATGTCTGAGTTGCTAACAATTCATTACAAAGACAAAAAATGTAAGTTCCCTTTCAGTATAAAACACCAATCAATGCCTACAGACTTGTTAGACCAGTGGTTCTCAACCTTCCTCACGCCACGACCCTTTCATACAGTTCCTCATGTGGTGGTGACCCCCAACAACCATAAACTTATTTTTGTTGCTTCTTCATTACTGTCATTTTGCTACTGTTATGAATTGGGCGACCCCTGTGAAAGGGGTCGCGACCCACAGGTTAAGAATCACTGTGTTAGACCCCCTTTTAGCTCTAAGACTCAAGCTCTTATTTAGCACATCCTACTTTGTGTTCTTCCTTTTAATTTGGACATTTAAGTGAATATAGTTTTCCATTTATCACAATCACACTATATCAACCAAATCCATGTAATGAGCCCATTTGTGGCAATATAGCACAAAATCGTGATGCTTTACCGCAATTTACTTGCCTGTTCTTTAGTTTGGAGTGCTGGTGGCATAGTGGTTATGCATTGGGCTGCTAACTGCAAGGTCAGTAGTTCAAACCACCAGCCATCTGTGGAAGAAAGATGGGGCTTTCTACTCCCATAAAGAGTTACCGTCTTGACAAGTGGGATTTACTAAGGATAAAACACCTGAGTGCCTCAAAAGACTTCACCAAGAGAGTAACAAGGCAACCACAGACTGGAAGAGGATTTTTAGCAATGACACAACAGACAAAGGGCTTACTATGAAAATCTACAATACCCTCCTTGCCTACAAAACTAGAAAAGCAGTTAACCCCTTGAAGAAGTGGGCAAAAGAGCTGAAAAGAAGTTTCACTCAGGAGGAGACCCATACGGCCAATAAACATATGAGAAAATGCTCCGGATCATTAGCGATCAGAGATGCAAGTCAAAACAACCACAAGAAGGCATCTAAC